AAAAAATTTCCTAAATGGTGAAAATAGATGAGAATCTCAATGTTCTGAATTTGCCCCTGTTGGTCCCCTCAGCCCCCTCTCTTCTTGCTGGCCATTTTTTGAATGTCCAAGCCCGGGGTTATATATCTGAGTCTCCTTTCCCCACTCAGGGATCACGGGATGGCCTCTCGGAGGTTGGGTCAGTGGTCTGGAGGAGACAGAGGAGCAGCCCTCCTACTAGGAGTCCGTTCAGGTCGTCACTTTTGGTGTATGACTCTATCCTGAAAGGCCTGCTTCTTCAGAAAGGGATTTTTTTAGGCCGAGCTAAGTTCTGGGAAGGCAGAAAGATGTCCACAAAGGGTGGTTGCTTTGAATGTTGGGCTGACCTGAGGCAGGCAGAGACTGTCTGTGCTGCTTCTGTCAGAGTAAATATGTGGTGAACTCACCACTCCCGGGAGACATGCTGTGGGAGACAGCCGCAAGCTGCATGGGGAACCGCTGCGGACAGCAGTTCATGTCAGACCATTCAGTTTACTTTGATTCCACTGAGCTTCATTTTCTCCCCAAGCCCTAAGAAATCTGGAGAAAGAGACGTTGAATATAATGTCAAAATTTAACCAAAGCGTGAAATAACCCCTAATATTAAAATCAGATTGTAAAGGGTCACCATCTTAAGGGTTTGCTTAGTGGACCTTTCAGAAGTTTTTGTTTGAGAATTATGGAGACAAAAACAAAACAAAACCCCTTCCCTAGGGAGGAAAGTTTACCTGGAGCTCTTTCTTTCATTGGTCACTTCTAAGATTCACCAGATCACGATAAGGATAAAGGGTGGAGATATGTGGGGTGGGTGGGGGGAGACCGATCATGCTTCAGCTGTGACTACTATCTGCAACAATAAGAAGAAAGTAGTCTTTGCCTTCTGCAAAGGGAAGTTGGAAGTCAAAGTTGTGGGGAAGCATCCACCACAACAGCCTTCTAGGTTCCAGCACAGCTGGGCTCTTAGACATTCATCCACTTCTTCCAACGGAAGCTCAAAGAAGATGGTGTTTTAGCCTTGGTGGTTCAGTGGCTAAGACTTCACTTTCCAATGCAGGGGGTACAGGTTCAATTCCTGGTTGGGGAGCTAAGATCCCACATGCCTTGTGGCCATAAAACAGAAGCAGTATTATAACAAACTCAATAAAAACCTTAAAAATGGTCCACATAAAAAATTCTTTAAAAAAGAAGGTGGTGTTTTTATTAAGGAGATAATACAGTTCAGGAGTTCTTTCATAGCAGAAAGCCCCCCAAACACCCACAATATCTGTATGCCAGGTCCTTTTTAGCCGAGGTTAAGAGGAGATGCCCCAAATGATCATCATTATTATTTGTTTGCATGTGTGTTTATTCTGGTTTGCTTTTAAAAACATGGTAGATTTTCTATATCCAAATGGATGAAGATTCTGAGAGCTTTCAGATCACCAAAAAAAAAGTGGGAGCAGAACCATCCATATCCATTCCAGCAGACAGTTCTACGCTAGTCCTGTCTCTTCTGTCCCTGATAGATTTAGTGATGGTGCCACACGGGCTATTCAAGTGTGATCCTCCCCTTCAGTCATCTGTAGTGGATGGTCACTGTGTGTCCATAGCAGCTTACCCTAGGTCTGAAAAATCAGAAAATCAGGCTCCTGAAGAAATTAGGTTTCACAAGAGATTAGTATCAATAATATGCCTTTGTGGGTATCCTGTCAGCTATCACATTTATTTTTAAGAAATCTAAAATATCCGAGTTCAAAATTCAGTGTCCTTTCCCTGTGATATAGTACTGGAGAAAGGGTTCCGGAAGTGGCAACTTGATTTGTATCTAATTTCGGCAAAATAATTGCAGACTGCTTCCAGCTTGAATGAGCAGTGAGGTATAGCTCCCAGTAGTTACTTATTTTAGAGCACTCCCTCAGGATGAATGCTAGCTATTTTCAGTGGCGTGTGGGAAAACCAAGGGCACTGCCAAGTTGTGGCAAGTTGGCATCATGCATATGAGCTGTCAACCTCGATGCTTAGTTCCACTCAGATTCATTTCTAATTTCCAGTTGGCGTGTAACCTTTTTCTGTATTCAATTTGGGGTCCTGATCACTTCCTTTCTCTGCCTCCCTACCTTCCCACCTATCTCTACCCACACAGGCAGCTTTGGGCTGAATCCATCTAATAATAACAGTGTGAATGCCAAGTGGGTTGTATAAATCCTTGCGGAGAGATGTGAAATGAAGCACATTGTTCTTCAGGGCTCCTGAGGACCAGAGTGTACCCATCGACAAAAACAAACTAATATGCAGTGAAGTTATACGCCTTTCTCTATAATTTATGCAGAATGAGATAATGCTGTGATCGTGCCCAAAACAGCTTTGGTGTGTGTCGTGGGCAGCCTCTAAAACAGCCCAGTGATCACCACCTACTAGTATTCACTCCCTGTGTGAACTGCCTTCTCATGTGGGCTGGACCTAGTGACCCTCTAAACAAACAGAAGATGACAAAAGTGATGAGATGCCAGTTTTTGAGATTAGATTACAAAAGATGTCTTTCCCCCGCCTCTCCTTCTCCTCCCCACCAGCCCTCTCCCTCTCTTCTTCTCTCTCTCTCTCTCCGTCTAGCTCTTTGCCAACTGCCCATGTTGGGAACTTCCCTGTGGAGAGGCCCATGTGTTAAGGAACTGATGTCTCCAGCCAGGAGACAGTGAGGACCTGAGGCTGACCAACAGCCATGTGAGTGAGCCTGGAGGACCAGCCTCCCTTGTGGAACTTTGAGAAGACCGCAGCCCTGGCTGGTGCCCTGACTGCAGCCTGTGAGCCGCTGAGTGAGAGGATCACTAAGCTATGCCAAGGTTCCTCACCCACAGAAACCGAGAGATAATATGTGTTTGTTGTTTTATGCACCTAAGTTTTGGAGTAATTTGTTATAAAAGAGAAACACTAGTATTAATACTAATATCCCCTTAAGCAGGTAGTTAGGAGCTTCCAGTGACCCCACCAGAGGTCTGTCTCCAGTGTCACCTCTAGCTACAACCCCTACCATCACCTCTGGGCCTGCTTTTTGGCCACGTCTTACTCTTAGGTATCTTTGTGTCTTTATGTGAGTTGTTTCTTCTGCCTGAAATAAACTGTTACCTGTTGTCCATGTAAATTCCTGCTCATCCCTTGACATTTGGCTCAGATATGTCTTCTGGAAAACCTTCCCAACCCCTCCAGGCAGAGCGCCTGTCCCCATCCTCCACCTGTGCTGTGGCACCCACGCAGTGTGGTCCTGATTGGCAGGCCTGCCAGGCAGCAGCTCCTGGAGGGCAGGAGGCGTTTATTCATCTGCCAGTTCCTGGTACCTAGCACAGCACAGTGATAAAGTGCCATTCCTGGAACAGATCCACGGCTGTTTTGCAGAAGCAAGGGTCTTAGGTAGAGGAGGACCCTGGTAGCTAGTTCCACCCCCAGCTAATGCAGAAATCCTACACAGCATTCTCAAGCATGCGGTAGAAGAATACTTTAACTGGACAGTACATGAATGTTAAGTACTCAATCAGCAGACCCAATGCGGTAGCAGCATGCAGTGTTGTAAAGCTCTCTTGGTCTGCTATCAACCCCTCAGCCCTTCAGTTAAGGTCATGGGAGTTGACAGTCCTGTAATCTGAGTTGTTGTCATTTCAACCCATGACCTTTGATATGTTCCAGGCATCACAGACCTTCCTTCCCTTCATTTTTAGAGGAGGCCAGAAAGAAACCACAAAGGCATCTTTAGGGACAAATCTGGAAGAAGGGCAAGTTGTATTTTTATCTTAGGTGGCAATCTAGCCCATGAAGAGAGGGCTCACTGCAGGGGAGGTTGTTGGAAGATGGTGTAGGTGTGGAATACATTGTAAGCCTATCTACTCCATCACCACATCCTGACAGTTGTGCCTCCTAATTAGGATCTTCCCCCTTTCTCTCCTCATGGCTCTTCTCCTAGTCTTGAATTTACCTGTAACAGCTTCTTCACTGGTCTCATGACATTCACTTGTGACCCTTTCCGAAATGCTCTTCTTTCCAAGCTCTTGCAGCCAGAGCAATCTTTCTAAAATGCACATTTGACCCCATCGCCTGTCCACTTAAACACTTCAGTGGCTCCCTCTGCATGGCCTGGCTGGAGTCCAGCCTTGTCCTACATCCGGTACCCATCCGTCTCTGTGCTCTGTTCACACTCACCTCTTTCACGACCTTGAAGGCACAAGTACCATCCCACCACAGAGAGGCACAGACCCTCTTGCCCTAGTTAATCCCATTCCTTCAGATTTCATGTCACTCTCCAATTCCTCAGAGAGTCCCCTGACATCCCTTATTAAATCAAACCCCTTATTACTTATACAATAGAAAAGGAGATGACCTTGATCAAATAACCACACATCACAATGCTGTGTTAATTTGTGTGATTATTTGATCAAGGTCATCTCCTTTTCTATCCTGTAAGTTCCATGAGCGCAGGGACCGTGTCTATTGTTGCTGACACTGTGTTCATGGTACCCAGTATGACCCAGCAAAGAGTGGGCATTCAGTCAGTTATTTGCTGACCTGAAATGAATGAATTTTGGGTGCTGTTAAGGGTACATGGAAGAAAAACAGAAATGCAGGAAGTATGAGGATGTAATGGAACTCAAAGCTAGGGCATAGAAGGATAATTTGAATGTACCAGTTTCTTTAGACGAATACAAAATTTGCAGAAGTGCACAGCATTTATAGCTCTGTGTCACTTCCCTTAGCCCAGGCCACCACCGCCTCAGGGGAAAAGGAGGGATTTGGGGTCCGTTCCCGGAGGTCGTGGGTTCTGCCTTCTTACCTCTTCCACTCAGGCAGCCACACCAGCTCCGCCTCCCTGGGCCTCGAGCCAGCTCTCCTCTGCAGGGAGGTGGGGAGGGCTGTGCTGGGGCCAGCAATATCACGGGGGGCCCTTTCTCAGGAGCTCCACGTGTCTGTGTCCCTGCGACCCCAGCGCAGACCTGGCGCGGCCCGCGGCCGACATGCACCTCCACCCTTCTCCGCTGGGGGCGCGAGGGCGCCTCGCTCGGCGCCTGCAGGTGCTGCGGCGCCCCCAGCGGAGCGGGGGGTTTGTGCCCCTGCCCGCTCCTCTCCCGTAGCCGATTCCCATCCTTCCTCGACCGTCATCTCTCTCAGCAGTTTTGCAGCAGGCAAGTCATTTCCTCTTACTTCTTCGCGAATCTTAGATGGAGGGGTCCAGGGCCTGCCGGTTTTATTTCTCAGTCTGTGTTTCTTCCAGGGCCTGACAGGACTAGAATGTTTCAGTAAATGTTTCATCCCACAAACATCTACTGCATCAGAGAGAGAGAGAGAGAGAGAGAGAGAGAGAGAGAGAGAGAGAGACAGAGAGAGAGAGAGAGAGATGAGCACATGGGGGCCCTGTCCCAGGAACCCGTCTTCTTCCGGAGTTCTTTACAGGTACCTTCACCTCTGGATGAAGTATTCAGCTGCCAGACCCTGGCTGAGAATCCATCCTCGCTATACTAGTTTTTGCCAGGAGCCAGGAATTCAGAAGAATGTTAATCTGTTTTTCTTCCAGCTTTTCTTACACGGATGACAATATTATTACCCTCAGCTTTTACAGTGCAAGTCTGTACACAGATCACAGGGTCCAAGAGGGCTCCTGACTCATTTGAGATAATTACCTTTTTTCCCCCCCTTTCTTTCTAGGTCTTCCATTTCTGTGAATCAGCGATGTGGAAAACCCAGGCCTCAGAAAAATTAAGGGAGGCTTGAAGTGAGCAAAGCAGAGCAGAGTGTTGGCAAGAGCTGAGGGCTGCCACAGCGGGAAAATCAAGCAATGCGTCATCTACGAGAACTCGTGGTGATGTCTGCCTCCTCCCAGCAGCATCCGCACCGGCTGGGACAGTCAGATCACTGTGACTTGGGCAGAGATGAAAACACGCACGGCCAGGGTATTATAGAGGTGTGTGGTGTCAGGACGGCCTGTGCCAGCCTCATTTACTTTTCTGAGTCATTTGAGCAAAGCAGTCGTTGGGCTAACCTTGCTGTGATGAGAATCCGTGACAAATCCAAAAGCTTCTGCCCGGACTGCCTTCGCCCCGCAGCACAGGGCGGTCGTCTTTTCAGTGGTGTGAGCCTCCCCACATGGCGACTGATGGATGAACTGTCCCTTCTCTCGCCCAGAGCCCCTCCAGGCAGGAACCTTGGCCCACTTTCTCCTATGTCTCAGAGGCCCGGCACTGGGCTTGGCATCTAGTCGGATCTGATGAATAAATGAATGGGTATAGGGACATATGGGAGACATAAGGGGCGCCCACAGTGGGAATGAGGTCAGTGGCGCCATTCTGCCATTCTGTGTTAGTTCTCTGCGGTTTGCAGGACCCAAAGGAGGGGTAACTTGTCCTCTGTAGAAAAAGCATGCCTCATGTGGGGATTGCACAAGGGAAGGTGCTGGCTAGCTGGGTATCAAGGTGGGCAGAGGCGGAGGAAAACCGGGGAAATGACACAGGAAATGACGGTGTTCGTCCTAGGAACACGTCATAGCATCCCACGCAGAGCCCTGATTCTCCCGGAAATTGACGGAGTGCCTGGCGGAGGCCAGCTCTCAGGGAGCCGTTCCTCAGCCCCCACAAAGACCCTCGGGAGGGCCCCCACGCTGTCCCACCGTCGTCCACTAGGGGGCAGGCGGAGGCAGGAGAAAAGGTGAGCCGGCCATCTGCAGGCTCTTGGGTTGGGCTCATCAGGCGGCGGTGCACCCAGGCTCACATCCAGCAACACCCTGGGCCGTGCGTGTCACTCAGAAAACTCGGCCCGCCTCTCTTCCTGCCTGTCATTGTCTCTGTGATTTTATATGGTATGACCTGCGACATGAGTGACCACGAGACCATGGTAACCAAAGCACACAGCTCGGCGTAAAGGTAGATAAACAGGAAAAAAACGAACCCCTAGTTTTCTAATTTTACTCACCGTTTGTGTCTTTTCTCTCCCTGCCTCACCTATTCTTTATTATCCTGAAAAATCAAGATGTACCTGAATTCCAGGACTTTTAAAAATGAAAAGATAAATGAGGAAAATATGCCCTGGTCTCCTGTCATCTAGCCTTGAAGATAGCAACTCATTTCCTCGTGTGCAAGTTATCACTTCCTCTAGATATCCTGTCCAACACTCCTCTTGTGTACCAACATACCATCTCAAGGGAAAATTATGTTCTTGATAATTCCCACATGCCATGAAAAGTAATTTCCTGTTAAGAAACTGCTGGTGATGGGAATTCTTAATTAGTTCAAAATTTTCCTAATCCTTGAGGATTGAATATAAAAAATACAACTGCCCTCTTGTACAAATTATCCTTCTATACATATTATTTGGCCCATAGACCTGTGACTCAAACAAACTAGATTGAACATAAAGGAATAAACATTTTACCAGGCCAGATCACAGAAATGAAAGTCCTTGTGTAGAAATGAGCATTGCTTCATACAAAATCAGAGTGTTTGAAAGCTGTTTTCCTGCCTGCTGAGAATGTCCGATTAGAACCCCATCAATGCTTGATAACATTAACAGAAAGCTTTGCTTTAATGAAGTTAAAGACTCTTTAATGAATTGCATCTTTAATCGGAATGAAAACAAACCAACCATATTACATGAGCCATTGGAAAATGGTAGTCATCCTAAAAGAAACCGTGTTCTAGTGGAATCAGAATTCTTATGCAAACCTTTTCAGGCTGCAGACGTCTTTGAATGCTACCCTTGATTTCATTCCAACAGCAATCACAGCTGAGAAATATAAAGTATGATGTCAAGTTACTTTAATGGTTTGCAAAATTCTCAAGAATTTTCTAAAAATATGCATTTTCAATGATACCATAGAGTAGTTGGTCTAAAATTGACTTTCAATTAAAAACATAAACAAACAGGCCTGGATATATTTGGACGCAGATGTTGCTGGAGGTTCCAGATTCCATTGTTTAAAGGTATTCTGTAAATATGACAAAAACTGTGGAGAAGACATTCCATCTGATTGGGTATTCAGGTTTACAAAGGGAAGTAATTACAGGGCCAGAGACTGGGTGTCAGCCCTCATTCATCTAAATTCTCTTTCTCACATCAACCTAGCTTGACCTTGATTTTTTTTTAGATGCAAGTAAAGGACATCAGTGTAATTCGAATAAACCAGTGTTTTAAATTCCCTCGGGAGTCTGGAATCAGAAACGACAGACTTGATGGACACAAGCTTGAAGGAGTAACCAACTCTTAAGTAATTATGGTGGTTTTAAAAACAGTATCTTCCTTTCTTACTGAGTTAAATTTTCATTTTTCTCTCGAGGGAACGTTTATTTGTCTGATTCTTTGGAAAATACCCAGATGCTGGTTTCCACCCCTCCCCTCTCCTCCCTGACGTGCCCACCAGGCGCTCACTGCCTCTGCGGTGGCCTCTGTGGTCCGTGGCCATCTCTGCTGCTAAGTCACCTCCAACCTTCCTCGCCTTTCTCTGAGGGCAGGGGCCTCTCTTCTCTTCCTGACAAAGCACTTTCAGTCACCTCTTGGATTTCTTCATGGTTGATTAAACTGTCTGTGTTTATTCAGGACCCTTCTCCTCTTTCTGTGTCCGGCTGCTGACCTTTCTCTGGGTTCACCGTAGAGGAGAAGGCTCCCAGGGCAGTCCGTCTGCCTGCCTGTTTGCAGCTTTGGTAAAGATTTGGTCCTGGAAAATGTTTAGGCCGTTGAAATATCAGTACATCTTCAAAGCATGTGACTTTTCGCCTGGGCAGTTTTCTGAGTTGCTGTTAGTGAATGAGATCGGAGGCACATAAGCAACAAGAGATGCCTGTGAGTCAGAGCTGCTGACATATCCCTTGAACCTCACCAACGTTGATGGGTCTTGCCGCTAGGCTCCATGGAACATCACAGGGGTGTGTTTCCCAATAAGAGCAGTTGTGGCCTTAACTGAGGCCTCCCAGCTGGCTCAGTGGTGAAAGAATCTACCTGTCAATGAAGGAGACACAGGACACCCAGGTTCGGTCCTGGGGTCGGGAAGATACCTTGGAGAAGGGAATGGCTACCCACTCCAGTATTCTTGTCTGGAAAACTCCATGGACAGAGGAGCCTGGCAGGCTACAGTCCATGGGTTGCAAAAAGTCAGACATGACTGAGAATGAACACAAGAAAACATGATGGTCTTAATTGCTTGGAAGTGGGAAGGAGAGAGAAACTGAAGCACAGAGTCTTGTTGAGTGACCAAAAGACAAGCCAGAGCAAATATCTTAAGTCAGAAATTCTTTACAGAAATTCTTGTCAGCCTGATAACTAATCCTCAGCCTGTGTCCCTGGTCTGGGGCTGGCAGGCAAGTTCAGCTTCCCCCAGAGGTACCCAGGCTCTGGGCCCAGGTCAAATGCAAGTTCTACCACATGCAGGCATCGCCCCCTTCTCCGAACACTATACCATCTGGGGCTGTACCTCTCAGAGTGACATTTAAAATTTTGCGCATTTGTGTACGAATCTTAGGGGCATGGGGACTGTGTCTTCTGCATCTTTGCCTGTCTGGAAGCATGCAGTGCACGCTTTCATGAAAGTGTGGATAAATGGAGGTGCTGATGGACGCTCCCCAAAGGCCTTCTCTTTCATTCCTTCAGTGCCCCCTTGCTCACTCAACTAGCTCTACCCTCCCTCACTATTCTTAGAATATACTCAGCTCCTAGCCTGCACAGTTGGCATGGCCCGATTTTTCTCTTTATTTGTTCATCTCACCTTTTTATGTCTAGTCTTTACTCTCCAGCTCATTCTATAAACTCTTGGAGGCCAGAGGTTTCATGGGACTCTTTTCACCAATCACTTGACTGAAACATACTGAGAAGCCGTCTACTTAACAGAGTTCAGAAGATGATGCTTGTGATGAGAGCAGTGGCTCACCAGGGCTGACCGCTGGTCCTGTTCAAAGTGTTTGATGGCCCAGGATTGGCTGTGTACTCCCGGTCACCATCGAGCTCTCTCTCGTTATGAATCCCTCATCGACACTGTTGGGTTCAGTGGCATGTGAGCTGGTGAGAGCTCAGGAGCGTCATCCTCTGAAGGCAGGGCTTCTCAGCAGCGACTCTTTGACATTATGGGATAATTCTTTGTTGGAGGTGGGGGTGCTGTGGTGTGTGTTGTAGGATGTTTGACAGCAT